GATTGGCTAATAATCACATGTAGATCTACAAATTGATCTACAAAGCTAGCCAATCAGACGAATTTCTGCCTATGAGGGGCCGCCCTGGCCGATTCTCTACATCTACTTATACCGCAAATGTGCCGGGGTAACTACCCTCGAGATTCTAAATGTCTGCATCACTAGTATCGCGGAAAATTAGAACTTATTGTTCGAACAAATCTATACTACTGCATAGAGCAGAACAATCTATATTTTTATATCGTCGATTTAGCCATTTCGGCTCTAATGCAGATGCAAAAACAGATCAACCCAGTCATTCTTATTTTCCTTTTGTAAATATTTTCAGCAGAACACTAGAAAAGGACGAAAATTTACGTCTAATTTTTGATAATATTAATGTATGGAATGAATTTACCAATCGTTCACGGACTTTTACTAAGTTAGAATTTAACGCGCAACTTTCAACAAGAAAATTCACTGGCTTATTCAGAAATCCCGAATTAACTTCACCAAAAGGTTTTCAGAAAGAAGCTGAAAAGGCAGTAAGGAGGGTAAAATTACTGATAAATAGAATTGTCAATGCTAATACCGATGAGGAACTGAAGAAGGTGGTCAAGAATTTGGATAGATTGTCTGATGTACTTTGTTCAGTAATTGACACAGCTGAGTTTGTGCGAACGGTTCATCCTGATCAAAAGTTTTCTCAGGAAGCCAATCGAATTTATGAATATTTATGCTCATTTATGAATTCATTGAATACCAATAGGGAATTATATCAGGTACATGCAAAAGGAAAAATTTTAATATACTGGATATGCACATGTGAATTTTCAACATAAATTATTTTCAATTTCCATTTATTTTATTTTATTTTATTTTATTTTGATTTTTATTTTTCATCGCATTATATCAAAAAACTTTATTTAGCATTAAGGCCAACATTATTCGTTACTTATATCTCAGGTATTGAAACGAGTAATGTCAACGCCCAGCATTTATTCACAATTCTCTTCAGAAGAACGTCAAGTAGCTCATATTTTTTTGAGAGATTTTGAAAAATCTGGGATACATCTTCCTTCATCAGATCGAGTTAAATTTGTGCAATTATCAGATAAGATTATTGCACTCGGTCGTAAGTTCACACACAGTCAACCATCGAAATCAACAAAAATAATCGAAGTAGAGGCTTCACGTCTTGATGGATTGTACACCGGATGTTCCACAAGGAATGGTGATACTGCTAGGTTATCCACTAAGCCTTGGGAAGCCCAAATGATTTTGAAACTTATAAAAGACGAAAATATTAGAAAGGAAATGTTCATTGCTTCGAATTCAGCCACAAAAGAACAAACTGATTTATTAGAAAATTTGTTGCGTACAAGAGGAGAGTTAGCAAGATTGCTAGGAATGGATAGTTATAGTCACATCTTTCTTATAGACAAGATGGTAAAAAATCCTGGTATGAGACTTTTCAAAATTATATTTGCTATTGTCAAATTTGCTATTCACAATGCTTCGTTTATTTTGCAGATAATGTACAAACATTTTTAAGAACGCTTGCTGATCATCATAGACCAAAGGCTCTTGCTGACCTTTACCTCCTGAAAAGAGCCAAACGACAAGAAATTAAGTGCAAAGAATTACCAACTGTTAATGCTTGGGACCGGGACTATTATACTGAAAAAGTAAAAGCCTCTTTAACGCAGCCTATGACCCCCATATCTCCTTATTTTTCTGTTGGTTCTGTGATTCAAGGCTTATCAAGACTGTTCTCCAAACTATACGGTATTTCATTTGAACCTTCTGAAATATTACCTGGAGAAACATGGCATGATGATGTTCGTAAGCTTAATGTAATTGATGAACAAGAAGGAATGATTGGAACAATTTATTGTGATCTTTTTAATCGACATGGCAAATATTTAAACGCGGCTCATTATACAGTAAGATGTTCTAGACGTGTTGATGATGACGACAGCATTGGAGACATTCCTCCCGACATGGATGTTTCGGAAATAGGAGAATTGGCAACACCAGAACAAGGGGTAAGACTTCATGGTAGGAACGGAAGATATCAATTACCTATCATTGTGCTTACATGCGACTTTGCAAAACAAAAAGGAGATGGTAAACCTTGTCTGTTAAGCTTAGTTGAAGCTGAGACTCTCTTCCATGAAATGGGGCATGCTATGCATTGTGGGTAATTAATATTAGTATGTTCAATTTTATAAAAATTCCAGAATTAAATATTTATTTTATTATTAGCAATGATCGGACGTACAGATTTTCACAATGTCTCTGGTAAATATTGTTCGTTTCGTTTAAGTTATTTCGATGTTATTCTGCTTAACTCTATATTACACTTTCTAATTTTATATTATTTTTAAAAGGCACTAGATGCCCAACAGATTTTGTGGAGTTACCTTCAATACTTATGGAGCATTTTGTTTATTCACCTACTGTACTAGCGCTTTTTGCAAAACATTATGATACCCGAAAGCCCATACCAATAGACCTTATTAACTCACATCTTAAAGCACGCACCCAATTTTCAGCTATGGAGACACAATATCAAATTCTAATAGCATTATTAGATCAAATTTATCATTCCACATTGGCTATGTCTCCTGACTTTGATACTACTGCTATTTTAGCTAACCTTCAGGATAGCGTTGGACTATTTCCTTCAGTTCCCGGAACTGCATGGCAGATTCAATTTGGGCATTTATTTGGTTATGGTGCAGGGTATTATAGCTACCTTTTTTGTCGAATACTAGCTGGCAAATTATGGAAACAAGTATTTGAAAAAGATCCGTTAGACAGAGAAGCAGGACAAAGGTTCCGAGATGAGGTGCTACGATGGGGTGGATCTCGGGATCCATGGTTGTGTGTTGGTAAAGCTTTACGAGATGAAAAGATCGCAGTTGGTGATAGTAAATCAGTTTCTTTGGTTGGAGAGTGGGTAGATTGTTTATAAAAGATTATTGCAGTGAGGGATTTCTATTTATGGGAAAAGCCGTGTCCAGTCATATGTTTTTGACTATTTGATAAAAATGAGGGTAAGGGTTGTATTTTTATAGTAAAATTACTCTCCGGTCATTTTTTATTAATGCACCGAGACGGTTTAGACACTCGTTTCTTGTGTTTTTCAAATTTTTTTTTTGTCTCTTCGGGCTGATCCGTGTCGATCAAAACAAGCAACTTTATTGGTCCGTGTCACGTGATTGGACACGACCCTATTCAGGGACCGATTTGGTAACGTAAAAAAATTGGATTTTGGCCTGCATTACGAAATTAATTTATAATTTAGGCCATGTCACATGACTAATGATGATTCGAATTTTTTGCAATTTTTGCGTCGAATTATTTCACGTGATTAAAAGCTATTTTTAAACCAATGAAAACAATTTATTTATAGATACTATATTGCTAAAAATTTGTATTTATTTGGATTTTGTGTAAATATT